CCATCACTGTAACCTGAGCTTAAGTAAAGGCTGCTTGATTGACTGATTGATTGATTGATTGATTGATTAGCACAACAGTGCTCTATCATTAAAGGGGTTTTTGAGTCAGGCCTAAATACTAAACACAGCATCAAAGAAACGTCCCTAAGTGTTATTGTATTATTATTATAGTCCATATCTTATTAGGAAACCATGAGTAACTGCACAGGCCTGCTCAGCTCAGTGTGGACGGAGGCTGCGCTGTTTTCTTTAAACTTCCCCTCCGCCTCAATAAAAACAGGAAAAGCAACCAACTAAACAGGTCTGAACGAAACTGCTTCAGCACCACAGCCTGCTTCTCTAAACAACAACACCTTATTTATTACCTTCAGCACAGCAGCTCCTCTTTATCCCCGAACATCCAGCAGCAGCTCCTGGACATCTTCTCCTCTTCACTGAGGCTGGAGAACCACTGACAGAGCGACACAGGCGCCCCCACCTGGACAGGAGGCTTCACATCAACTGAACTGCAGCTGCTGTTTTTAATCCCACCTATCTTTAGACTAAACCCCGCCTCCTGCAGTTCTCCGCCTGGCCTGTAGAGGGGGTCTGTGACCTTTTCCTATCATTAGAACCAGTGATCTTTCGTTAGATTCACACACACACATATATATATATATATATATATATATATATATATATATATATATATATATATATATAGTTGTCAATTTTTGCCAATTTTATTGTCCATTTTATCAGCTCCTCTTACTATATAGGTGCACTTTGTAGTTCTACAGTTACAGACTGTAGTCCATCTGTTTCTCTGATACTTTGTTAGCCCCCTTTTACCCTGTTCTTCAGGGGTCAGGACCCCCATGGACCCTCACAGAGCAGGTACTATTTGGGTGGTGGATCATTCTCAGCACTGCAGTAACACTGCCGTGGTGGTGGTGTGTTAGTGTGTGTTGCACTGGTCTGAGTGGATCAGACACAGCAGGGCTGCTGGAGTTTTTAAACACCTCAGTGCCGCTGCTGGACTGGGAATTGTCCACCAACCAAAAATATCCAGCCAACAGCGTCCTGTGGGCAGCGTGCTGTGACCGCTGATGAAGGACTAGAGGATGACCAACACAAACTGTGCAGCAGCAGATGAGCTATCGTCTCTGACTTTACATCTACAAGGTGGACTGACAAGGTAGGAGTGTCTAATAGAGTGGACAGTGAGTGGACACAGTGTTTAAAACTCCAGCAGCACTGCTGTGTCTGATCCACTCGCACCAGCATAACACACACTAACACACCACCACCACGTCAGTGTCACTGCAGTGCTGAGAATGATCCACCACCCAAATAGTACCTGCTCTGTGAGGGTCCATGGGGGTCCTGACCACTGAAGAACAGGGTAAAAGGTGGCTAACAAAGTATGCAGAGAAACAGATGGACTACAGTCTGTAACTGTAGAACTACAAAGTGCACCTATATAGTAAGTGGAGCTGATAAAATGGACAGTGAGTGTAGAAACAAGGAGGTGAAAAAACTTGGAGGACAAAAACGTCTGTGTTGAGCTGTTTGTCTGCTAGCTAGTAAATCTTTTGCTAATATTAACTCTGATGACATCCCCTGTAAAAAGGACCGCACAAATAAATTTGAATGAAATTTTAAAGCTCCACTGTACTTTTCTTAGCACTTTAAAATTCAGCAGTTACTCCCAGATAGTGAGCATATATCGGTCCGCTGGCTTGATATGGTCAGCACCTTACTGACTGTTTTCCACTGCTGGTCCACCCTCGGACTACCCAGATAACTGTCCTGCATACAAGCTCCGAGTAGTTTTTGATCTCCTCAAACAAAATTAAATGCCGGCAGACTTTTATTTTGGAAAATACACTAAGACAAATATTACAAACAACTCAGAGAGAAAAAAAATGTCTAGGTCTGATATAAAATGATTTTTATAGAAAATGTTGTTGCTGACACTGAGCTGGATTAAAATGATTTGCTATACTAATTTACAACGTATAACTAAAGAAAGAAAGGAAGAAAAATAAGTAAATTGGACTGTGAGGGAAAATGAGCGATGGTAAGTGGAATTTTGTCCATTACTCGGTTAAACCACCAGTGGGCCACCTTGAAAACACCGAGCAAAACACCACTGGACTTCAGTAAACAGATAATGTGAAAACTCCATGTTTACCTGAGTCGGGAAGTAATCAGATTTCTTCTTTGCACCTTACCAATAAATCCACAGAAGAAGACGTAAATATCAAAACATCATTGCTGTGCCTTTTTTTTAACATTGAGTCCCTTTATCAGACTTTTATCATCTAGAACAGGGGTCTTAAATTTCAGTAAGGTCCAGTTAGAGAAAATTTCCTCAAGCGAAGGTCCAGAACATCATAATGTCTAAGTTGCGTCATGATTCAGTGCCATATACTGTTTACTGAAGTAGCCTAGTATGTATATCAGCATCTTATACAGTCAACAACTGAATAAATAAATAAAAATAAATCAAATAAAGCACAATTCAGTCATATTTCAACAATATTTGTCAGTTTTCTCTTTTTAGAGCCGCCATGTGAAATAACTTCCCTCTGACTCACTTTCTTCTCCGACTGCTGTTTCTCGCCTCGTCCCTCCCCTGTGTGTGCATCACTCACTCACTCACTCATCGTAATGCACAGATCTGGTTGTCTAAGTAGCGTCACATGCGATCGGTCTGTGAGTCTCCGGGCCACTAAAGCTGCACCGTAATGACTAGAAATGCTACGCCGATTAAAATAGGACCACCCTATCGAAATTAAATAATTCTCCATAGTTTTATCAGTTATAGGTCCAGGTCCGCATAGGACAGCATCTGGGTCCGGACTCGGACTGCGGCCCGCCTATTAGTGACCTCTGATCTAGAGGATCAAGGATATTCAAATCCTTCATTACATCAAGCATGTAGTTGGTTTCGGCATCGTTTTGTTGCCGTCTCCTGGTGCTGTGTTAAATGTTGCTCACACATGAGTGGACCAAGAAAACGAAAGAAATCAGAGTAAGGGTACATATGCACTGAAAACCCCCTTTACTGGGCTAAAATCCAGCTCTCTTCATCAGATTTCTAGAAATCCAATAACGGCCTTAATTCAATCTGAGAAATCAGAGTGTGCTGTTTACATTAGCACTTGAATAATCAGATAACGGCCGAAATCCAGTAATGACTGTATTATTGGTGTGCACGTAAATGTGCACATTGTTAGATTAATGCTTTAACACTTGCTGGTTGATGACTTGAAAACCCCACCAGTTTGTATTCCCCAGTGTAGCCTGCGTGCAGAGTACTGGGAGGACAGGGTGAAATTTGGAAACCAGGAGGGACGGGGGCGTGTCCAACTTGCATAATCAAGCATATTAATCATTTTTCCCATTTTGTAAAGATTCAAGGACACTTCACTACAATTTAGTAGTTTCCTGGAAATGACAATAACGCATAAAAGATGCTTAACCGTTTATTAGTTAACACAGATTTCCTTAACGGCTTAAATTACGAATTTAACTCAATAAACAGCAAAAGTGCACAGTCTTAAACAATATAAATAAAATAAATACTGCAGCATCGGGGTGGAGCTACCCAGAATACTTTGCAGATTTGGTTTCTATTAGGTATCACTTATTTTTCTTTCATATACTTCATAAAAGAAAGTGTTCTAGCTTTTTTATGCCGAAGGTTAGCACTGAATATATTATATACATGTTTTGTAATTCTCACCATGATAGCAGTTCATATTAAAATTCAACAGTTCAGTCTGTAACGCTGTAAGACTTTAACAGAGTGATTCACGCTGGATGGTACAACTGTAAGGATTTGTGTTACTGTTGGGAACTCATCCAAACAACGCCATGACCGAAACAGTCGGTAACTGATACTGAAAAAAAACAAAAGGTGTCCATATCACCCAATATTATTAGCCAGCAGTCATATCGGTCAGGCTCTAATGGGAGCATCGCTAATTACATCCTTGAATCTTAAGGAACTAAAATAGATAAAACTAAGACTCGCCATTAAGGCATACAGCACACATAATATATGCACTACAGATATCATATAATAATCACAAAATAATCATTACAGACTCACAATGCAAAAGTTTTGGCGCCCCTAGTCAAATGAAATAAAATTAAATATGTTTCATTGATTTTTATAAGCATAATTGTCTACAGAGGAAGCCCATTTAAATACACAATTACTGTTTATGTTTGATGAATTTGACATACTGATAAAAATAAAACATCAAATGTGACCTGTGCAAAAGTTATGGCACATTTTATATTAGGCCATATTTAAGTGTGTTCTCTGTAGAGGATGTGAGTCGTTCTGTGAAAACGTTCACTTTTGTGTCCCTAATGTTTTACAGATATATTACACTTGAAAAACATGTTTGGGTTCAAATTTATTTATATTTTAAAATAAATCAATAAGTTATTTTAACAATTACACCTTCTCGAGCCGTCAATTTAGCAACATTGGTTTTTTAATCTATTATCTAGAATTCCAAGCACCACAGAAGAGCTCGTCCCCACAGTCATGTCTGAAAGGTGAGGCCATATTTTAAGATAAAAAAATGTTTTTCTGCTATTTTAACTGCAATAATCTACACATGACTATGATATATAAATTAAATGACATAAAGAAAACAATGCTAAATAAATATAAAATATATAATGAAAGTTGTGGTCCCCAGGAGTCGTGTCACTGGTGTTACTGCGTAACAAACAATCTCTTATTTTGAAATAAAAGTCACACTGATGACATCACTCGACTTCCTTTTACCTATTGTCTGAGGATCTATAAGGAAAAGCACATGGTGAGTCCACTGTGTCTTTCAGTTGTCATTTAGTTTCTCATTTAGCTCATGATTTCATATGAAGCTTTTAGCTGACGTCACTGGTGTGACCGACTTTATTCTTAGGTAACTGTGAAAAAATAGAATACAAATGGATTAAATTACATATTTTAGTGGATGTTCCATGATTGACGACATGTGGTTTGATGCTCTGTAGCAGTTATTTAGTAAAATGCATTTTTGTTAAAAATGTCACTGGTGTTACCTTTACGTGTAACACCAATGACGATCAGTGACTCCTTTGGATAGATGGAAAAGTGGACGTTTCTGTAGAATGACCCATGTGTTAACTTATTAAACCCGTCATTCAACCAGGGATGTTCAAACTTTTGCATATGAATTATGAGAAAGAGGACGTTTTTCTTAAATTAGTGGCTATTCTAAGCTGCAACAGCACACTGTTCGTGCTCCTAAGCACTGAGAACGCAAATCGTGATCCGACACTTACGTGTCATGAATTTGCACCTCCGTCTCAACGCATTTGTGTATCTTTAAAGTGTGTGAATGTCTGAAGCTCTTCCCACACTCTGAGCAGTAATAAGGTTTCTCTCCTGTGTGAATGCGCTGGTGTCTCTGGAGATGACTCAGTCTAGTGAAACTGATCCCGCACTCCGAGCAGTCGTACGGTTTCACGCCTGTGTGAATGCGCTGGTGTAGCTGGAGATGACTGTGCTGATTAAAACTTCTTCCACACTCTGAACAATGATACGGCTTCTCTCCCGTGTGAGTGCGCTGGTGTCTCTGGAGAACGTTCTGTCGAGTGAAGCTCTTCCCGCACTCGCCGCAGCAGTACGGCTTCTCTCCGGTGTGGATGCGCTGGTGTGTTTGGAGGTTACTCTGCACGTTAAAACTCATCCCGCACTGGGAGCAGTAGAACGGCTTCTCTCCTGTGTGGATGAGCTGGTGTCGCTGTAGAGTGCTCTGTCGGGTAAAACTCTTCCCGCACTCAAAGCAGTGGTGAGTTCTCTCCTTGCCTGGCTTCGTCTGTGTCTGTGCCGCGAGGAGAGGATCGGCGAAGGGTTGCTGAGCACTGAAGCTTCTTATGAACGCCATGTTCCCATATTCTAAGCTCTCCTGGTTTCAGCAGTGTGATTCATCCCCTTGGCATCTTGTGTTGCGTCTGGCGGTAAATGCGACTGCGCGTTCATTTCTGGAGGACAAAAACAGAAGTCAAAAAAAAAAAAGGCAAAAAAATGGATAACAATGATGCAGACAGTACCAAAAGTAGACAATCCTGAGTTTCAGATCAAATCAAAACCCACAAATCAGCACTAACGAGACAAAACTACCCAATTCCAAAAAAAAGTTGAGACAGTAGGTAAAATGCAAATAAAAACCAAAAGCAGTGATTTATACATGTACTTTGACTGTATTTCAACAAAAACAGTACAAAGACAAGATGTGTACTATTTTGTCTTATCTACTTAATTGTTTTCTTCTAAATACGCTCTCATTCTGCAACTGATGCCAGAACATGTTCCAAAAGTTGAGACAGCTGCAATTTAAGACTAGGAACATTGTAAAATGCTCAAAAAACATCTAAAATAGGTGATGGAATCTCGCTTGGATATCAAAGGAGCATACAGGGAAGGCCTAGTCCTTGTAAGTGAGGGTCAAGGCTCACCACTTTGCCAAAAATGCAAAAAATCCAACAGTTTAAAAATAACATTTCTCAGCTATTTCAGGTATTTCACCCTCTACAGTTCATGATATCATCAAAAGATTCAGGGAATCCGAAGAAATCTCTGTGTGCACGTCACCTTCGACCTCTCAGACAGCACTGCATTAAAAACCGGCATGTTTCTGTGATGGAGATCACCACATGGGCTCAGGAATACTTTGACAGACTGTTGTCAACAAACACAGTCCATCCCTACTTAAGACTGTACTATGCACGGTAGAAGTCGTATGTCAACAACGTCCAGAAACGCTGACGACTTCTCTGGGCTAAAGCTCATCTGAAATGGACTGATGCAGAATGGAAACGTGTATTGTGGTCTGATGAGTCAAACTTTCAGATTGTTTATGGAAAAAATAGTTCTGTGCTTTAAAAACGTCATGAATCTGACATAGACTTTTACTTAGGACCTTTCTCAAGAACACATTTCAGAAAAAAGATACTGTTGAATGAGGCCCGTAGATCTTAATTCAGTGTTATGCTAATTAAACAGGACTACTTATACTCTATTTGTAATGGCACGTGAGCTTGGCCAGCGTTCTTCAGGTGCTGACGATGTGCATGATATGCTCAGAGAAACATACTGTGACATAATTTATCATGATAATGATGAAGCATCGTCGTATTGCCTACCTACAGTAGGAGCTTCAGTCACAAAGGCTGCTCAGTGGGCTCAGTGTGAGTTTCAATAGGAACAGTGACAAAGGTGACCTCTGCATTTAGATCTATGGGAAAGACATCAGTGAACAGGACTGGAAATTGTGGTGGAAAGCACACGATCAATGACTATGAAGTGCAATTTGTAAGCAAAAACAGAGGACTGACCGTTTCGCAGGTGACCGGAATGGTCAATACACAATCAGTGCCCTCATCAAAGAGATGAATATGCATGAGAGGTCAGCAGTGTAGAAACCATAGACACTGTTCTACAGAGATGTGCAACCCAGTGACCTGGTCAGATGAGTCACCCTCACCGTGTCCTCCACAAGAGTGCAAAAGCATGGGCAGCGTACAGCAAGAGTCAAGAACAGCCCTGAATGCTTGACCCCTACAGTGAGGGGGTCCGGTGGCTCTGTTACGCTGTGAGGGGCATTTACTGGCATGGTTTGGTTCTGTGTGTCGCATTACAGGGAAGAGTCACTGCAAATCAATGCAAAGTTATTCTGGCTGATCTTTATTCTACACACTTAAAAGATGGTTCTTTAAGGGTTCTTTAGTAAAGAAAATGGTTCTACACAGAACCATGAACACATTTGTATGATTAAAGCGTTCTTTGCATCATGAATGCATTCTTCAGATTGATGGGGAATGTGTGGTAGAAAATGAAAATGGTTCTAGGTAGCACCAAAAAACGTTTTTCTATTGCTACACACTTACAAAAACGATGGTTCTTCAAGGGTTCTTTAGGAAATAAAATGGTTCTATATAGAAGCATGAACACTCACAGAACCCTCTGCCTGATAAAAGGGTTCTTTGCATTGTGAAAGAGTTGTTCAAATTGATGGAGAATGTGCTGTAGACGGTTCTACCTAGAACCTTTTTGAAGAGGGTTCTGTATCGCATCGAAAAGGGTATTTCTATTGTTACACATTTAAAAATGATGGTTCTTTAAGGGTTCTTTAGTACAGAAATTGGTTCTATATAGAACCATGAACACTCAAGGACCATTTACATGACTGAAGGCTTCTCTGCATTGGGAAAATGTTCTTCAGATTGATGGAGAATGTGCTGTAAATGGTTCTATATGGAACCTTTTCGAAAAGCGTCCTTCTATTGTTACACATTTAAAAATTACGGTTCTTTAGGAAAGAAAATGGTTCTATATAGCACCAAAAATTGTTTTTCTATTGTTACCCACTTACAAAACTAATGGTTCTTCAAGCATTCTTTAAAAAATAAAATGGTTCTATATAGAACCATGAACACTCACAGAGCCCTCTGCATGATTAAAGCGTTCTTTGTATCGTGAAAATATTCTTTAGATAGATAGAAAATGTGCCGTAGATGTTTCTATACAGAACCTTTTTGAAAAGCATCGAAAAGGGTATTTCTATTGTTACACATTTAAAAATGATGGTTCTTCAAGGGTTCTTTAGTACAGAAACTGGTTCTATATAGAATGATTTCCTCTTTCTACTGAAGAACCCTTGAAGAACCATCATTATTAAGTGTGTATGATGAGTTCTGAGGGGAGTGGTCTTTTCCAGGATGCCAACGTCCCAGGAGGGGCTACTGATGAGGGGTTTGATGGGTATGAAGATGGTGTAAATCAAATCTATGAAAGATGTGTGGAACGTACGCATGCAGCCTGTGGAGAGGACGGCGAAGGATGACTCATCTGACCATGCCATTCTTTCCACATCTGTGCTGACCACAGCCTGTGGTTTCTGCACCACTGAACTCTCAAACGTACACTCATCTTTGTAATGAGGGGTTTCTGCACTGCAGCTCTACTATAATACCCCCTCTGTGTGCAGCTGTGGACGGACTGTTCTTGCTGACGCTCCTGTTTTACTGAATGTGCGCTTCCAATCACAACTTCCAGCCTTACGTACTAAACACAGAGGTCACTGTTTCTACTGAAACACTAGTCAGGTGAGCAGTGACTGAACCTCCTGCCATCTGTGACCCAGTAATGAACCCTCTATTAAAGGGGAACTCCACCGATTTTTCAAAAATTGAAACAGAGATGTAAACAGAGTCGTTCAGAGTGGTTTGGTGTGAAACGCTCCACTCTAGAGAAACCTGCCAAGTCAGAATTGTTCACAGTGGTGGTGATAGGAACCAGACATCCACCTCTAAAAGCTCCCTCACAGAAAGTTATTACATTAAATGGTTATCAATACATCAATAGTCAATAAAATGTCTATATTTGTGTTGTAGTCATGGTGACCCCTGGTTCCTTTCGCCACCACTGTAAAGAAGAGTCTCTACAATCAACCATTTCACACCAAACCACTCTGAGTCACCCTGTTTACACCTCAAACACTGAATTATTAAATTTTTTTTATAATGGTGGAATTCCCCTTTAAAGTCACATATTTTCCTCTTGATCCAAAGTTGAGGCCAAATGGGCAGTTCAGCGTTTTCACGCGTGCCTCAGAATGTGGTAGGACTGCGTAACTGTATCATACAGTGCACCCATCTGGAAACATCTGCACTCGTTATGTTTCTCCACTTATTTATTCAGGTTTTCCTCCGTCACGCGTCCGTATATGATCTGTTCATTTATCTGGTGAGTCTGAACTCAAATTTTTTGGCATGTTCACAAATATGTGCTTAAGTCATAATTCACAAAGAATTAAAGAGGCAGAATTTAACATACGGCTATTCTGGATATAATCACACATAATCACTGTTATAACACAATAATACAGGCTTAGACAGTCATATGCAAAAGTATGTACACCCCTGGTGCTGAACACCACCAGGAAACAGCAGAAACTGTAAAAAGCCAAAATATAAAAATATATATATAAACATTTTACATTGAGTGGGTGGGCACATGGACCCCTTGCCCACCCGTGGCCGCTCGTCTGTCTGTATGTCTGTGCGTATTCTTTGCCCTAATTATATCTGCAGACTGCTGAGAAAAACAGTGCCTGCTGGTGTCTAATACTCAGTAATGGTGTTGAGTGTTTTGCTGATGGGTTGATATCACAGCGTAAAGGGTTCTAATGGTTTAACAGGAGCTCTGGGACTGATTCCAGATGCACTTGATCGTTTCCTAATGGAATCTAAAGATGCCCTACAGGAAACTAGTGGTCTCTAATGGTAACCTTTAACCTTTAATCCCATTAATCAATCAAGCTTTATTTAACCTCGGAGAGCATTGAGGGTGACCCTCGTTTAAAAGAGTTGATACAGGAAAAAGGGATTGATGATGAACATATCAAATACATACATACATACATCATCTAAACCGCTTATCCTTCTGGGTCGCGGTGGGGTGCTGGAGCCTATCCCAGCTGTCATTGGGCGGGAGGCAGGATACACCCTGGACAGGTCGCCAGTCCATCGCAGGGCACATATCAAATAATAAAAGTAAATTTAATAATAAAAATTCTTATTCAAATTCAAATCAGAGAGTAAAAAAAAATTAACAATAAAATACAAAAAAATACATAGAAAACTGAGGAAAATATAAAACAATAATTAATGTGTAACTAAAATGTAAAAGTTAAAAAAAATCAAAAAAGATAAATAAAACAAAGGAGGATAAGATCAAAAAAAGGAAACTAAAATTAATTAAAACGACTGAAATAATAATAAAATATTCATAATTCAAACAAAAATAAGAATATGAATAATAATAAATAAGCAAATAAATAAATGGGAAAAGAAAGCAAAGCCATCAGGTTTAAACCCCAGTGGTTCTTTTTTGTGGTGCTTGGTGATCTTATCTAGAAAGCATTTAGAACCTTTAGGTCCCATTCGGACATAATCAGATGTAACCTGAATCAGACCTAGAACTCCTGTTAAACCATTAGAGTCATTTACACCAACAGGACAAACACCAGACACCATTACTGACCACTGGACACCAGCAGGAACCACAGGAACCAGCAGAAACTCTGAATGGGTTATATGATGTTTTTCAGGTTCTAGATCACTGAGCACATCCTAAGCACAGCAGTACCGCAGTGTCACTCACGTATAACAGGCCTCACCAGGAGAGCACTGGAACACACAGGCAGGCGAAAACACAGCATTAATGTCCTGCTCAGCTCAGAGTGACCAGCCTGCGCCTGGTAACACCTAACCTGCGACTCAGAGCGCGAGCAGCGGTCAGTCCGCCTCTGCACGGGACAGAGAAAGTGAAAACACGGGGGAGACGCACGAGCAGCTCCTCGTTTACCTTCATTAGAGCGGGAGTCCTCTTTCCCTCTCTCTCTCTCTTTCTCCATCTCTCTCTCTCCAAACACACAGCTGGAGCGAGCGGACTGCCTACGCCAGCTGTCCTCTCCTCTCTCCCCTTCACTGAGGCTGAAGAGCCGCACTTACAGAAACAATAGCGCCCCCACCTGGACAGGAGGATTCACACTCCAACCACAACAGAGCTGGGACACCAGAGAGCTCTGAAGGATTGATTTGTAAAAAGAAAACTCATATATCCATATATATATATATATATATATAGTATGTTGAGTGCTGATTGGTTGGCATTACTGCAGTGTTAGAGTGTTTTATGCTGCTCTCTGTTCAGGAAATTAATGTATTTTTAATGAAAATGTTTAAGCATTTATAAACTATTATTTTGCTCAAATGCTCCATATCAACCTACTTATTGTGGACTCACTCAGGAGCGCCCTCTAGTGTTTGAGAAACCCAGAAGAAGTTACAGAGCAGTCATTTTCCTCTCTACAAGTTTTCTGCCCTGACACCACCAGGAACCAGCAGGAACCTTTAATGGCTTCTACGATATTTTTCAGCAAGATAATACTGACTTGTGTAGTTGGAGCTCTGTTATAAGGTCAACATCTGTTCACTTTCTGTCATTTGTGTATTCTATCTTGCCAGGGATTCTATCAGCATGTTATTTTGGCAATGAAACATCCATGGAAAGCACTTTAGGGCTTAGGGTTAAGTGGTAGGGGTGACGGGTCAAATGGAATTAGGCCTAAGTATTGATTAACCTCATAAATAAGTACAAATGATCATAAATAAATACGTATTGAGAAGTATTAATATATCAATAGACTCCCTGCATTTTCTCTGTTGATTGACACAGAATTGCTTTCGATTCAAAACCGACCCAAAACCCAGCATAGAGCGGCTGAGCGAATGTCTGGACTCTGTGTAGGAGGGTCATTGTTTCAGAGACGCTGTGGAAGGACAGAGTTCCTGCCCAGTGATCCACTTAGACCCCTATTCTAGAGGAGCTTGACTCTCTGGAGATTTCAGTTCCTACGTTATTGTGGGGAAATGAGCAACTTGCAGAGGAGCAAAACAAATTCCAGGACTGATCACTCCATCCAAACACAGAGTGCCTTTTCCTGTCTGCTGATGCTCATATATGACACAGCTCTCAACTCCTCTAGGTCCACTCCACTCAACCTCCCAGTAGCAGCATCCACTCATGCTCTCTCTGCACAGCAGCTGAGAACAGCTCTCAAATCTGTCTGGATTGTCAGGATACGAGTGGACGGTGTAGCTGTGTGTCACTACTCTGTTGGGATCAAGTGTGAGTTTGCAGAAATCTGGCAGAGATAAATAAGTAATTTGGCTTTAATATCTACATGTGTGGGAGATTTATGTTACTGTATAGGTGACTTACATTCAAAGAACTCTTGCTTTTGGGTTCAGGAGGGAGAATCATCTGAACTCTTGGCACTAAGATAAAGAATAGACACCACCATCATTCACTTGATTAGAATCTCCTACTTGTAGCTCAAGCTTGCTGGTGTGCAACTGAGTGCATTCATCCATACACTATATGGACAAAAGTACTGAGACCTACACATCACACCTACAGGACCTTTTATGATGTCCCATTCTAAATCCTTAGGCATTAATATGGAGTTGGTTCCCCTTTGCAGCTGTAACAGCTTCCACTCTTCTGGGAAGCTTTCTACAAGATGTTGGAGAGAGTCTGTGGGAATTGTTATCCATTCATCCAGAAGAGCATTTGTGCGGTCCACTGATGTTGGACGAGAGAGTCTGGCTCACAATCTCTGTTCTAGTTCATCCAAAGGTGTTCGATGGTGTTCAGGTCTGGGCTCTGTGAGGGTCAGTCAAGTTCTTCCACACCAAACTCACCCAGCCAGGCCTTTATGGAGCTGCTTTGTGCACTGGGGCTCAGTCATGCTGGAACAGGGAAGGTTCTTCCACAAACTGTTCCCACAAAGTTGGAAGCATAACGGTTGTCCAAAATGTCTTGGTTTGCTTTCTCTTCACTGGAACTGAGTAGTTCTAGACCAACCCCTAAAAAAACACAAGCCCATATCATCATCCCTCCTCCACCAAACTTTACAGCTGGCACAATGCAGTCAGACAGGTAACGTCCTCCTGACATTCGCCAAATCCAGACTCGTCCATCAGACTGACAGATAGAGAAGTGTGATTCGTCACTCCACAGACCTGAATTCAGTGATTAAGAGGTGTGTCCCAATACTTTTGTCCATATAGTGTATCTTGTTTGGTACAGATCTGCAAAATATTTTCTTTAGTACGATGGTGGGAACAAATTTTTACAGTGGTCTGCACCAAAACAAGGGGAACAGAAACATGACTGCAGGGACGCAAATTTGATCTGACAAGCAGCGGGGCCAACATCGGGGGGCTATAGCCTACATACAGTGTTAGTACCTAGCCCCATATAATTATCATATTTTGTACATAAAATAGGTATACAAACTCAGTACACAGAGTTACTGTATTCTCATCATATCTAATGCTGTATATGTTAGTAATCAAACATAAAAGCAAATAATATTTTAACAGGAATTATGGTGGTCAGTTTATAGCATAGATATATAATAATCATGTAATGTCCTTTTTTAAACCATCCTGCTACATGCTCCCTGCAAAAATTCTATGTTATAACTTAAAAATATTGGAGGAGATGTGTCACCCCTGATACTGGCTCATTATTAAACCCAAATTTCTGTCTGTCTTTTAGCACAAATGAATAAAGATATAAAAGCAACTGGGTGACTGTTCCTGACCAAACAGTGAACCCCCAAGTGAACTGTACTGTGCCGATGCTGTACTGAAATGCTGAATTTAGTACCCTATGTAATTTAAAGACATCTGCCACAGTCCTTGGTCAGTCCAGTGGTCACTTTCTGACCACAGAGCAACTCTTGGCTGTACATTTTTAAGTGGTGGCCCACTCTCAACCTAGTATTGACAGTGACGTGTAAAAAGCCCAGCAACACTGCTGGGTACCAACATATCAGCGCCAGTGTGGTGTTCAGAAAGGTTCAAGACTGTGCAATGTGGTCATCTGTGATCTATGGTCAGAAACTGACCTATTGAGGAAAAGAAAAAGTAAATATGAAGAAGCATTTTCACCTGCAGCACGTCTTGGAGTGAAGGAGTGTCTGCACTGAGGGCAGCTATAGGTTCCCTTCTGATCCTCCTGATTCCAGCAGTCATTAGTACACACCATACAGAGACAGTGACCACAGGGAATGGTCACTGGATCCTTCAGTAGATGAAGGCAGACTGGACAGCTGAGCTGATCCTGAGGTTTATTAGACTCTGCCATTTCACTGTGATTACACACACAATGACAAGAAACGCTAGAGTCATGTACCACATGTGAGGTCTGTGTGCAAAGTAGGTGTGCCCCTATAGATACTGGCTATAGTGGCATAAGAGTCTACAGGTCACAGGTTTGTCTTATCGGTCACTTTGAGATAAGAGAATGCAATCTTTAGTAACATGTAAAAGGGGGTAAAATCTAATCTGAGAAGTGTGAGGAAAAAACACAAACGGAAAAAGTCAAGTGACCAACATTCGTGTCTATAAGGGATATGAAATTTGACTAATTTAGATATTTGAATGTCTGTAAGGATTAATGAATGGTAAAACCTCTAAAATCTCAGGCTCATTACATACTAAGACTCACTTTTTTACCTTTTTGGAGTTTTACAAGAGAAGGAAAAGTGTCCTTAACTTTTAATGGAAGTAAGTGACAAATGGGGACATTTTTGGACCATTTCTGGTCTTGGTCCATCTGAAAAAAACATAAAGGACAACTGCCTTTTTCAAATAGTGTCAAAAAATTAGGCCTGTTTTTTGAGGTTTTGTCCTGACAGCAACTATAAATATACACTGATCAGACATAACATTATGACCACCTCCTTGTTTCTACACTCATTGTCCATTTTATCAGCTCCACTTACTGTATAGGTGCACGTTGTAGTTCTACAGTTACAGACTGTAGTCCATCTGTTTCTCTGCATACTTTGTTAGCCCCCTTTTACCTTGTTCTTCAGCGGTCAGGACCCCCACGGACCCTCACAGAGCAGGTACTATTTGGGTGGTGGATCATTCTAAGCACTGCAGTAACACTGACGTGGTGGTGGTGTGTTAGTGTGTGTTGTGCTGGTCTGAGTGGATCAGACACAGCAGGGCTGCTGGAGTTTTTAAACACTGTGTCCACTCACTGTCCACTCTATTAGACACTCCTACCTTGTCAGTCCACCTTGTAGATCTAAAGTCAGAGACGATAGCTCATCTGCTGCTGCACAGTTTGTGCTGGTCATCCTCTAGTCCTTCATCAGTGGTCACAGGACGCTGCCCACAGGACGCTGTTGGCTGGATATTTGTGGTTGGTGGACTATTCTCAGTCCAGCAGTGACACTGAGGTGTTTAAAAACTCCAGCAGCACTGCTGTGTCTGATCCACTCAGACCAGCGCAGCACACACTAACACACCACCACCATGTCAGTGTTACTGCAGTGCTTAAAATGATCCACCACCCAAATAGTACCTGCTCTGTGAGGGTCCATGGGGGTCCTGACCACTGAAGAACAGGGTAAAAGGAGGCTAAAAAAGTATCAGAGAAACAGATGGACCACAGTCTGTAACTGTAGAACTACAAAGTGCACCTATATAGTAAGTGGAGCTGATAAAATGGACAATGAGCATAGAAACAAGATATATGTGGGTAACCATTATAAAAAACCCATTCTGCTATTTGTGGGGGCTGTGGTTGGAAAATGGATATACACTTTAGGGGTCTTTTACAGTGCAGTCAAATTATGTTAAATGTTTGCGGTAGCTTTTCAGAAGACCCACTGAATAATTGTTTGCTAGAACGGCTGTTGTTAGTTGTTGGAAGAACAGATGGCGGGTTAAACACAAGACGACAGGTTTCAGTTACAGAAAGTAAAAGTTTAGTTTGCTGAGTTGAGGTTCTTGAGAACTCAGATGACAGTTAGATGGAAGCATTTTAGTAGTGCCTGTTTTATGAGTCACTCAGTTATGAGTGACCTTGAGGCTAAATATTTGGCAGAGCGAAAGTGGCTAGTGTTAGAACATTACTGGCATCAAGAAGCTTGCAAGAACTAGTGAAGGTCTTTCTCTCTCTCTCTCCTTCTTTTCTGAGATTGCCTCTCGGTCCACAACAACTACTTCTATAGAAACTCAAGCTTGTCTGTAAAAATGTTCTTTACTGCTTTAATTTGACACCACAGGTAAACACGGCTGTTGGATCATTAGTTAAAACCTTCAGAATCAACCACATCACATACTCAGAATGTTTTTACTGTGTGATGGTTTTGGGTCAGAGCCATTTTGCGACAGAAATGCTAGTTAATCTGGTCAGATGAGATCCTGGGAAGGACGACTCGCCTTAAGGAAAAATGTAGTTTCTTTAATGCATCTTTTTTTGTGGCTTGTGGCTTGTGGTGTTCTTTTTAAAGCCAGGGTTGACGAGTTGGTTAGCTGGTTGGCTCTAGTCTGCAGATTTTGGGTCAGTGAGAGTCGACAGCAAATCAAATAGTATTCAAAAAGCGCAGATTCAGGTTTTTTGCCTCTCAATCACGTTACAGACCAGAGGGAGTATAGCAGACGTATGAGTTTTACAACCCATTATCTAATAGTTATCATTATCTAATGGTGGTTGGTATAGTGTAGTGGGTAACACCGCTGCCTTCTACGCTAGACTGGGGTTCAATCCCCGCCTGGGTGAGCACCCTGCACTATACCAGTAAGAGTCCTTGGGCAAGACTCCTAACACTACCTTCACCTACCTGTGTAAAATGATCAAATTGTAAGCCACTCTGGATAAGAGTGTCTGCAAAATGCCATAAATGTAATAGTGTACTCAATCTAGTAGCGACTCAAACTGAATGGACTCCCCCAACAGCCAATGAAATCTGTGAGTGTGAAGAAGAAAATACTGCAAAATTGGGAAAAAAGAAAAATGGGACTGCAAAGCATGGGCACAATCGAGGATATATACATTTAAATCTCTAAAAACTACCACAATAATCACATCTTTACATCCATAACCTTCACGATTTAACCCCTTAAATGTGCAGGTCCTGCCGACAGGCCCAAAGTTTTACTACACACTTCTATAACCTAAGAATAGCTTCACCAGTTTGCATTGAAGTCCTTGTAGTTACTGAATAATGAGTCTTAGTATGTAACAAACCCAGGATATTAAGGGGTCCATTCCCGGTTGTTATCATTGTGCTCAGTTCTGGGATCGGCAGCTGATGGCCACACATTGAGAATGCACTGGGCCACTAGCTTGTCCAGATATGTGCTCTCCAGTGTTCACCCAGCACATGCTGTTTACTCCAGGTGGTCTCCATTCAGTTAAATAGGACTATGGGTCCACACGGTGGTCAGACCCTGACGGTCAACAGATCCAATTCGTCTTTGATTGCTGACGTTCACACAGTTGTAAATTCTTGTTACAGTGGAGGCTTTCGAGGGGAACTGGAGTTCTATTCTGCTGTTGCTTTTGTTAGTTTGCTACTTATTGTTATACAACATTTAGTTCCGGCCACACAAGCTGATTGGTTGAGAGCCGTTTTAACGGTGCTGTTATTTCGCCATAACATCACGGTTTTTCACAAACAGTTTTATCACTCCACTAAGACGCCGTTGCTAAGCAACGACTTTGACAGCTGTAGGACACGCTCAAGCCATTTGAACGTTTTTACTTCTTACTTTGCCACAAACAGAAAATACCTACAGCCCACAGCCGATTTGGTCAGACTCTGAAGATGAGACGAGACTTAATTCCCAAACTGTCATCACCACTGAGCAGCTTTTCAGTCGGCAGCTGTGACAGAAGAACAGCTAAACAACCTGGAATCAGCCAGAAATGAACAAAATACAATTCACCAAACTAAATGGGCTGTAAGACGCTTTCTATATAGCACCAAAATGGGTTCTTCTGTTGTTGCAATACTCTTAAAAATTATGGTTCTTGAAGGATTCTTTAGTAATGAAACTGGTTCTAAATAGAACCTTGAACGCTCAAAGAACACTTTGCACGATTAAAGGGTTCTTTGCATCTCAAAAGTGTTCTTTAGATTGATGGAGAATGTACTGCAGAGGGTTCTATACAGAACCTTTTTGAAATGGGTTCTATATACCACCAAAAAGGGTTCTTTTGTTGTTAAAATACTCTTAAAAATGATGGTTCTTCCAGGGTTCTTTAGTAAAGAAAATGGTTCTATATAGAACCATGAACACTCAAAGAACCCTTTGCATGATTAAAGGGTTCTTTGCTTTATGAAAACGCTCTTCATACTGATGGACAGTGTGTTTTAAAATGGTTCTATATAGAACTTTTTTGAAAAGGATTCTATATAGCACCAAAAAGGGTTCCTCTATTTTATACTATTACTGTATTTCTTGACATCGTAAAAAGCTTGACATCAAAAAGGTTCTATATAGAACCATCTACAGCACGTTCTCCATCAATCTGAAGAACCCTTTAATGATGCAAAGAACTCTTCAGTCATGCAGAGGGTTCTTCGAGTGTTCATGGTTCTATATACACTATATTGCCAAAAGTATTCGCTCGTCTGCCTTCACACGCACATGAAATTGAGTGACATCCCATTCTTAATCCATAGGGTTTAATATGATGTCGGCCCACCCTTTGCAGCTATACCAGCTTCAACTCTTCTGGGAAGGCTTTCCACAAGGTTTAGGAGTGTTTATGGGAATTTTTGACCGTTCTTCCAGAAGCGCATTTGTGAGGTCAGACACTGATGGTGGACGAGAAGGCCTGGCTCACAGTCTCCGCTCTAATTCGTCCCAAAGGTGTTCTGTCGGGTTGAGGAAGTGATTGGAACACCTGAATTCAATGATTTGGATGGGTGAGTGAATACTTTTGGCAATATAGTGTAGAACCATTTTCTTTACTAAAGAACCCCTGAAGAACCATATTTTTAGGAGTATTGTAACAATAGAAGAGCCCATTTGGGTGCTATACAGAATCCTTTTCTTTACTAAAGGATATGATGAGAATTAATGATCCACTTCAAAGAATCGCTTATGCAAGTTTTCAAAAATGTGTGAGATTTTACAACAAATACTGACCGTCCGAACACCTGCACTGACATTTTACACGGTTTCTTCCCATTATCCACAATGATCTCCACTGTTTTTGAAGCTGGAGATCATTGTTAGTACACCGCGTTACTGACCGGTTCAGCTCCAGCCCATAACAGGTCTCATTATTATACAATATCAAACGTTCTCACACATCTACATAGCAGCCACTATTACCACAGCTGAAGTTCTTTAGGAGGTTTTAGTTTTCTTTTTGAAAGACTGCTGATCCACAGCAGATCAATCTGAAAGTAAAATACTCAGTCTGTCCTGATTTAACCCTGCATCGTGTTGGAAAGCCAGCCAAACGGTTATAAATCACAGACTGACAAGACATGAGTGAGTTTATAGTGTTGTGACGAGAGTCGTGTACAGAAGCAGAGCCGGTTTCAAATGCAGTGAAGTTTCTTTTCCCATGAACTGGTTCTGCGGATCAGAGCTGTGTTCTTAATAGGCTTGTCTGACAGATACCACTTATCTGGACTTTATTACACTGGCCTGTAGTTAAGTGACTGTTAGGTCTTGCATATGAAATTTAAAGCTCTAAATCCCATCAAACTCGAGACCTATTCAGCCTGCGAAATTATTTTAATTTTCTATTCTTATTAGCCTGTTTCACCCTAAGATGCACCACAGTCCCCAGCATGCAATGCAACATAGTGTCGTTCTGACCCCAAACAACAATCTATGGGCCAGCAGTTACACAAAAAGAAACAATGCCTGGTGTCCAGTTCACGCAAATAGGCAGTTTTTACAAAAAAAAACTACCTAAGATAATTTATTTTTACTTGGAATTATTTTTGAATAAGTATTTAATGCCTATTTTGCTGTGGCAGTTTTGATGTATTTTGAGTAAATAATGGCCTGTTCAGGTCTTGTCAAAATGTTAGGTAAAAATGAAATAAAAACACAGCTGGCCCACAGATTTGCTGATATTTTTAATGTGCCCCTTTTAATGGTTGAGTATGACACCCCTGCTCTGAATGATCTAGCTGGTATATCTCACCGAAATGAACGGTTTAACCCCTTAAATGGCTACGGCCCAAAGTTTTATTACACACCTCTATAACCTAAGAATAGCTCAGCCAGTTTGCATTGGAGTGCCTGTAGTTGAATAATAATAAGGGATAGTATAATAAGCTGAATAATAAGCCTTAGTATGTAATAAGCCTGGGATTCTAAGGGGTTAAAGTCCATCCAAATGACTTACTGCAAACTCATAGGATCACTTACAGCTCAGTCGGTGGAAACTCCCTTTATTGATATTCCACTACTGTGGAATAGCATTTGGAGGACTAATTGGAATTCCAACTTTTCCATGTGTTTTTAAATCCAGATTAAAAACATCTCTGATTAGGCCTGTGCCTTTAAGTAGTTCTTCTTCTGACGTCTTCTGTCTGTAAATGTATTGTTAATGTTATTTAGAGCACAGTGTTTTTGTTTTTCCTGTTTTACTGGAATTTGTGCATAAAACGTTTTGTTTTTGTAATGAAAACTTCCATTTAAATAGCAAGTTATTATTATTAGATACACACAGAAAATGCTCAGTCTGAAAAACATGCTCATGTAATTTATTACGCACGTTCCCAATGGACACACAGAAAGACACACACATGAAATCTGATTCGGGTACAGATTTTATTTTTGAACCACACAGACGTTGATGATGATGCTTGCTACTGTCAACAACAAGTTCATTAACTACACATGTTTTTGTGTCTGATTGTCAGAGATCTGCTGAGGTTTGCATTTAGGTATAGAAACACATATTGAAGTAAATAAATTGTTATTTTGGTGACATAATAACTCAGAAAAAGCATTTTTACATTAAAACAACTTCAGTAAAAGTACAGAAGTAGCAGCTTAATAAACTACTTATTAGCAACTTAAATAACTGCAGTGGAACTTCTTAATACATCCAGCCTCTATCAGCACAGGAGCTGAAGACTCTGTTTTTCTCTTTTTGGATCCTTTTTTGTAACATCCTGTCTTGCCCTGTCCTTGTCTTCAGCCTTTGTTTTCTTGTTCCATGTGCTTTTGTTTATGTAGGCCATGTGCCTTTGTTGTTGTTTTGCTCTTTGTCTCCTCCTTGGTCGTGCCTTCTTATCATCTCTCTCACCTGTCTGTTGTCTGTATCCACCCTCTCATTAGTCCCAGGTGTTTCTGTCTGTTCTATGTGTATTTATACCCCTCCTTGTGCTGCTTTGTGTTTGCTTGGCGTTTTGTTCCCTCAGGCCTTGTTTTCTCTTGCTTGTTTACTGGTTTTCTTCATGTCCCTCTGTCTTTGGTTTCCTGTATGTTTCAGTATTTTGTTCAGTGTTCTGTCTTTGCGGATACCTTTGTGTCACCTATTTTTAATAAAGCCCAGGAGTTGCATTTGCATCCTGCCTTTTCATCTCTCCCAACATTACGCTTTTCTTTAAAACAAAACGCTAAAGCTCCGAAGTTGAGGGTTGTGAGCAACAGTAAATCAGTCCAACACACTAGAATGAAATTAAGCCCAAAACAAAGAATTATGAAGTAAATATTAATGACTAACTCATAACTGAGTAAAAAGTGGATTGCTCTTTTCACAAATGTACTTGAGCAGAAGTAAAAGTGCAAATCTAACAAAGTATTACTTGATTATCTTATGTTAAGATTTACTACTCATCTCTGTTATCTGTTGTTCACAAACTATTAAAATAATCAATCCCAATATATCTTATTATTTTGTGTAGTTATCATGATTAATTGCATTTGTATTATTTGCCCAAATTTGACGCTAAAGAAAGATCATTTTATTTACATTCAGAAATTTCACCTCCGCATTTAACCCATCTGTGGAGTGAAACACCACATACACACTAGTGAACACACACTAGGGGGCAGTGAGCACACTTGCCCGGAGCGGTGGGCAGCCCTATCCGCAGCACCCAGAGAGCAGTTGGGGGTTGGGTGCCTTGCTCAAGGGCACTTCGGTCACATACTGTCAGCTGAGTGGATCGAACCGGTGACCTTCCGGTCACAACAACCCACGACTGCCCCAAATGTAGACACGAGGCACAATGGTATGAAGCCGTCCAGGATCTGGCCTGCATGCCTAACATCTACCTGGCAGCCAATCAACACTCACACAAACTGTCTGCTAACTGGGAATGGATGATTTTAAGGGTCAAACTAGTGTCAAAAAATTAGTAACATTAATTATTTATCACATTAACACGTTACTAATTTTGACTCCAGTATTGTTAATATTCTTTTTGTTAAAGAAACTCATAATGTATGTTTTTCTTGTAACAGACATGTATAGGTCGCTTGTAAAAAAAATAATCTTGCTTAAATGTTTTAGAGAACAAAAATCCATTAGGTTGGACCCCCTATGCACAAAGTAATAGCACTAATAGCTCAAAGCATAATTAAAAAATTAACTCATTATTACATTCAAGAGTAATTTCAACAGTAGGAACCTCAGATATGATGATGTACTCAACATCCCTGTGTTTTCTCTTTTGACAGCTGACACAAATTCACCGATGATCCAAAACCGACCCAAAAACCAGCGTAGAGCGGCTGAGCGAATGTGGTCTGGACTCTGTGTAGGAGGGTCATTGTTTCAGAGACGCTGTAGAAGGACAGAGTTCCTGCCCGGTGATCCACATAAACCCCTATTCTAGAGGAGCTGGACACTCTGGAGATTTCAGTTTCTTTGTTGTTGTGCCAGAACGTGCATCTGGAGGGAGTGCAGAAGAATCTCCAGGACTGGTCACTTCGTCCAAACGCGCACTCATCGCCTTTTCCCTTCCTGCTGATGCTTTTATAGGAGGTGGCTACATAAACCCCTCCAGCTCCACTCCACTCAACCTCCCAGTAACAGCGTCCAGTCATGATCTCTCTACACAGCACTTGGAGGTAATGGTCAAATCTGTCTGGATGGTCGGGATATGACTGGACATCGTTGCTGCAGGTCACCGCTGTGTTCCCCTCAGATAGATGGAGGTGTTTGTGTGCAGAGTTGGAGTCCAGTGTGAGCTCAGAGGAGTCTGATGGAGAGATAAGAACATTGTTTGAAAAAGCAAATCTCAGTTTTGTACATTTATGCATAAACTCTGTAAATTATGGAGAGTACAGGTAAAGAAGGATGGTACACAAAGAAAGTACAGTTAGGCAGAAGAGTACAGCTCAAATACAAGTGAAAGTAGACTTCCAAAAATGTAAAGTAAGACTGTAAAAAATCTGCGTAAAATGACTGTAATGTATTGGCAGCAATTTCTCCAGTAATGTACTGTTTATTTACAGTACTCATACTGTATTACGCAATTGCAGTGCTTTACTAGCACCCCTATATTCCTCATGATAGAGCTCATATGTGCTCTAATATGAACCCACAGCTGTCTGAGGAACCTTGGTTTATGACATTAAGTAGTACAGCGTTTAAAGATATAGACAAACACAGCGCTGTTTATCAGTCACACCAGGAACTGAACACCTCATTACAACATTTACTGCACCTATTCCAGCCATTTACACTACAAAGAATGCAGTAACATGTTAATTATAACATTACAGGATGAACTAGTTCACTGAAGCAAACAAACAAAAGACCAAAATAACGTGAAATGCAATCAAACGTTTCTTATATAGGTCAACATATCGCTGTTGTCGGAACAAAACCTCGTATTTTCAAAATGGTAACTTTACAGGAGAAGGAAAAAAACTTCTTTACTTTCAATGTAAGTCAATGGAACCAGACTTTTTTCCAAGTCATTTTTGGCCATTTCTTTTGGTTTTGTTCCAACAGCAGCAATATATAAAAAAACTCTTTTGAAATGAACAATAGACATGCATTCAAGCCAGTTGAAGACACTAAGTTGCCTGTGAATGTATATGTCTGTGTGTCTGATGGACTGGTGGCTTATCAAGGGTGTTTCCTGCCTTCTGCCGCTGGGATAGACTCCAGCAACCCCCGCGACCCAGAAGAATAAGCAGCTTAGATAGTGTTTGTGTGTGTGTGTGTGTGTGTGTGTGTGTGTTTGTGTGCACTTCAACATTGTAACTTACTTGTGTGTTACTTTCCTGGTAACCAGAAAAATAGCATCATTAATAATTATGCTATAATTATGCTATTTAATGTAATTTAATTGTATTAAAGGGCAAGACATAATTTAATAAGAGTAAAACTTACATTGTAGGAACTCCTCTCTGCTTTGGGGATCAGGAAGAGGAATGATGTGGACCTCCCTCACTACAGAAACACAGTTAAACACAGTTATGGTACACTTCCTCAAACAACGATAAGGTCGTGCAACATGCTCCTTTTGAAAGACCACTCACTGTTCCAGACTTGTGATCTTTCAGAACCACTGCTATGAACTGTTGTCTAAGGTCATTGGCTCTTGATTTATTGATTAAAAACTATGATCGCAAACATTAAATTTGTTCCATGTTATACTTTCTTAAAAGTGAGAAAACATTAATATACTCCAGTCAATTTAGGGACACACCTGTGTTTGATATCATTCTAAAGTGCTTGTTACAGAGTTCATCTATTTCTTTTTTCAGTTGATTGACAGATTCTGCTACCTCCTCGAAAGAGAGAAGAGGACTGACAGTGATTGTTGATAATCCTGTAGATCCAGGACCGATTGAGAGAGACTGGAAATTCTATATATAAAAATATAAAAGAGACAGAATAGAATCAAAGCTATGAGTAAGTAAAAGAAAAAAGGGAGGATTGTGTCCTATAGGGTTCAATGTATGAATGCATAAATGTTCTCTGAATTTTTTTTTACAAAATAATGAAAAGAAAACATGGTGTGCCTCAAGGCTCCGTTCTAGGACCAGTGATATTTTCCTATAGATGCTGCCAATGTGCAGTTTTCAGTGATTATTGCAGTATTATGCTTTTTATTACTTCATTCTTTTTAGGTCTGACAAAAAATATGTGTATATACATGGTCGAAAGACCACTAGAACAAGCTAATTGTAAGTACAAGATCAACGACTTAGACCCATTCTGATTGCTTCCATTTACATTTTTTACACTTTGTATATGTGATCTATCATTATAACTCCACTATCCCAACAGGACAGTAGGCTCCTGATTTGAGCCATGGTTCTTCTAGATGTTTCTCAGGAATTGTTGGGACCAGCAGTTAGTAGCTTTCAGAGAAAGCACTTTACAAATAACACTGAACTGAATGAGTTGTGGTGTTAGTTAGCAGTGCCTCCTATAGCCATCCTGACAAATTGAGTCATGATGGCTTTATGGATGCATTGTGGCGAATTTCCATGTAAACTGTAAATCAAGAGAACAGACAGTTATTTTGTTAATATACATCTTTTATTAGGATAAACCAACTTTACTAAGAATTCATCTGAATCTCAGTGTCCTGGGTGTCACAGTGCTTCACCTGGAGGAAATGGATGTGATCTTCTGAGTGTGAAAGCTGCTCCAGCTCAGCGTCTCTCCTCCTCAGCTCAGCGATCTCCTGCTCCAGTCGCCTCAGGATTCCTTCAGCTCGACTCACTGCAGCTTCCTCCTGAGTTCTGATCAGCTCTGTGACCTCAGAGCGTTTCCTCTCAATGGAGCTGATCAGCTCAGTGAAGATCCTGTCACTGTCCTGCACTGCGGCCTGAGCAGAGCGCTGTTAGTGGACGCAGAGAGAGGAGGGGGGTCTGTTAGAAGCAGCCATAACCTCAGCCTATCCCAGCAGTCATAAAGGTGGTTGGCAGGAAACACCCTGGACAGGCTGCCAGTCCATCACAGGGCAGACGCACATAATACACGTTCACACACACAAACACACACCTAAAGGACAATTTTGTATATCTCCAATTCACCTGATCTTAAATCTAGTCAATATATCTGATATTTCTCATCTTGAGATGGTTGTCCGCTGATAAGATTATCTAGCTTATTTCAAATTTTATTTATTTGTTTCAGGTCATTTTATCCAGTAAAATTATCTCACTATACTGGCAGATAATTTTGCTGGTTTCAGGCACATTTCTCAAAACAAGCAACATTGTCTGTCGGTATAGTGAGATATTTTTACTTAATAAACTTACTTAAAACAAGTAAAAATCACTAGAAAGAAGTTAAATAACCTTAAAATAAGCTTATAACACTCTGAACAGGAGAAACATTTGATTTATTGACTGTATATAAAGACCGGGGGACCCTGGTCGCCCGGCCGGGGAATCGAACCCAGACCCTTCTTGTTGTGAGGTGACAGCACCACTGTGCTGCCTTCTATAGAAAATTAATTAAAGTATTACTTTTAATAATGTGGTATTTTCTAGTTTTGGGATTGTGAAGATAAAAAATCACTTGTGGCTCCTCGCTGACTGGACAGACGGATGTCCAGGTTGATCCTAAAAAAGCTTTTCAAGAATTCAGATTCTAACTTACCTTGTGAGTCTCCACAGCCTCCCTGAGCTCCTGAAGCTCCTTCTCTCTCTCCTGGATTCTTTTCTGAGACTGTCTCCTGGTCCACACCAACTGTGTCTACAGAAACACAAGCTTATTATCATTATTATTATTATTATTATTATTATTAGTAGTAGTAGTAGTAGTAGCGTATGTGTATTAGCAGTATGACACATATAATATGAGAATCAGGGCGATTACACAGTTACTAAGGTGTTGAAAGGCGGTTGCTATGGTATAAAAGTTGGTTGCTAAGATGTTGCTAGAAGGTTGCCGTACAGAATGAGGTGTTACTAGGTGGTTTTTAGGGGGCTGCCCAGTGGTTGCTAAGTATTTTAAAAAATGAATGGGAGTCTATGGAAGGAACGAGGGATGAAAAAACGACACAGAGAGGAGTGAAGGTCAGTATGGGTGTGGATTTGAGTTTGAGGCCCTGAGTACATGCAGTTTGGTGTCTGTCAGGCAATAAATAATAGGCCTCGAGTGGGGGCACAAATGAATGGGAGTCTATGGGAGAAAGGAGGGATGAGAGAAAAATGACAGACAGATGAGTGCGGGTCAGAACAGCATTGAAATCATGCTCAGGGGACTGTCCTGAGATGGTAGATGTGAAACTATGTCTTTCAGTTGAGCAGACGTGCAGTAGATGGATGTACAACTTTTGCACCCCATTCATTCCTATGGGAAAAAAATCGCAACTTAATGAAGATTGTATGAAAACCAATAGTCAAATCAAAAAGCTGTTTACAAGCACACCATTCCCGATCAGACTGAACATTCTGGAGTTGGAACGCTGTGGATATCTCGAAAAATGCAGGATGAGTTAGCGGAAAAAATCTGGTTGAAAAATAAGAAAAAAAGAATAGTATAAATTGGATGAAATAGTGTTATTGTTATGAATCAGATGATCTTTGGTGATTCTTGATGGATGATTCTTTTGGAATGTTTATGTTTGTGTTGTGCAGTGGTTCTGGGTTCTGTGCCATTTTCTTCAGAGGAAATTGTAGCTTATCTTGTTAGATGAGATCTTGGGAAGGACGACTTCCTTGATTAGCTACATTGGAAATATTGACTGTTTTTCTTTTCATTAAAAAAAAACATGAAATCTAAGCTGTTTCATTGTGAAAGGTATAACAGAGCACTTGCAAGGATCTTCTGTTTTTTACCATGGTGTATGTTGTCAATGCTATATTATGATATCAATGTTATATTGTGATAAATATTTTTAGTAGAGAAATAAAAAAGTGTTTTCCCTTGTATGTCAGTTGTTTCTTTTTGAAAAACTCATTTTTATGAAAGTGTATAGGAGTCGTTCTCCATTTTAAGTGGGAATTCAGGTGGATACATTTTTAAAAAATCTATTTCTTTCATCCCAAAACCAAATAATCTTAATATGTCCCTTAACATCTCCTATTATCATATATGCAAAAAAAGAGTTCAATTCCAAACATAATTTACAGTCACTGGTGTTGTATGAATATGGTGTAACACCAGTGACTGTGACTCCAGTGACATTCTGGTTAACACTGAGGATTTTGTAAATCGGCTGACTCGTTGGCCGTCAGGTGAGCTTGTGCATCTATTTAAAATCAGTAATAAAAGTGATAATACGGCATTATTTTAACAACATTTTAATTACCCACCCATTAAAACACATAACACTGGTGACACATAGGAGTTATGAGCTGTCTGTTAAAGATAATTAGTAATAAATTAATGAAATATAGTGAGCGAGTGTGACTCGCCTTCTCAGGCCTTGAGATGCTTCCTCTCTGATGAGCCTCGACCCAAAGAAGCAGTTTAATAGAGCTGAAAATACTTAACATAAGAGTCCTCATAACACCAGTGACCAAAATCTCTGGCAAATGAATTTTCTAAATAAAATACATATTTTTAAATGGAGTATGATGTTAATGATATAAAAAGTAAACATGAATTCCTGAGTTAAACCTCTTAAAAATATTGTTTATTATTAAAAACATTTTCTTAAATGTCAGAAACTATAACAGGCTGTTTTACAGATGCAGAGCGACTATGGATAAAAAAATCAGAAAAAGAAAAATCAGAGTATCATAAGAGAAAAGCATCTTTTTAAGCCCTGCAGCCTGTGTGTCATGGTTTCCCACTCCAAATGGAGAATGACCCATACAGTGTTTTGGAATGAAACTCTTCAATATACACAGTTGTCACATTATTATGACCACTTCATGTCCACAAGCTGGTGGTGGCAGCGTTATGGTCTGGGGGCTGTTTTCATGGCATTCTCTGGGCCCACTCATCCATGTGGAAGGCACTCTCAACCGATTTGGGGATGAATCCACCCTTGCAGATCACGTACACCCATACATGCTGATTGTCTTCTCTGGGCTGGATTGGATCTTCCAGCAAGACAATGCAACATGTCACACGGCTAGAAATGTCTGGCATTGGTTGGAAGAGCATGACCAAGACCAAGACCAAGTGCTACTCTGCCCCCCTAATTCCCCAGACTTGAACCCAATTGCTTATTGTTTATTGTGTCACTTTTTGGCCAAGTTTAAAAATACTAGCTGCTCCTTACGTTGCGTAAAATGTTATGATGAATGAACCAATAGAAATGCTCCAAATAATCTTGTTCCAATATCTTCAATTCAAAGTTAAGAAGGTTTTTCCTTCTCCTGTAAAATGACCAGTTTGGAGATGTGAGCTTTTGCCCCAACAGTGATGACAGAACCAAGAACCTCTCCTGAGAAAACACCAGTACAACTCACACTTACGCATCTCCTTGACAGTAACAACATGTTCTTACCTGCTTCTCAGCTCTTTCTGCTGTAATTCGTACTGTATGATGCCCTCTGTGCTCATCCATGGTGCACAGCATGCAGATGCACTGCTGGTCAGTGCGACAGTAAACCTCCAGCAGCTTCTCATGCTGAGAGCAGATCTGCTCCTGGAGTCGTCTGGAAGCTCCAACCACCTTGTGCTTCTGAAAGGCAGGAGATTCATAGTGAGGCTGCAGGTGAGTTTCACAGTAAGAGGCCAGACACACCAGACAGGACCTGACGGCTTTGTGTTTCTGTCCAGTACAGAAATCACACTCCACATCTTCAGCAGGAGGAGCAGCGACAGATTTGAGAACCGTCGTTATCTTCAGCTTCTCCATCATTGCAGCAATCATCACGTTCTTGTGTAGAACAGGTCTCAGGGTGAAGGAGTGTCTGCACTGAGGGCAGCTGTAGGTTCCCTTCTGATCCTCCTGATCCCAGCAGCCTGTAATACAGTCCAGACAGAAACTGTGTCCACAGGCAGTAGTGACTGGATTATTCAGCACATCCAGACAGACTGGACAGCTGAACTGATCCTGGTCCAGTGAACTGATACCGGACATTTTCACGCAGTTAGACACAGTGATAGAACCAGCAGTGCAGAGAGAGTCACGTACAGCAGCAGCAGATGCGTCAAATGGAATGAAGTTTCTTTTCACTGAATTGAAGAACAGAGATCGTTTCCTGGTTCTTTGTGTGAGAACCGTGGCAACACAGGTACATCTTATAGATGTCATTAACCCTCTTTTGCACAGTGTTGCCATATGGCAAAAATGACTTCATCTCAATTTTACTAAAAGGCAGTAATAAAGAAATCTGTGCTTTGCTATTTAATTGTGGAAAAATGGTCTTTTACTTTGAAAGGACAAATACTTTAGGACATCACATGACCAGGAAATCTTATTATAATGTTATTATTACCATACATTCCAAATACCAATTGAATTTTTCAAATATTTCTATTATTTAAGCAATTTTAAATAACAAAAACACATCCAAACATTATCATGCTTAAGTAATAAGTCAATGCAATAGAGTGTTAATAAAGATCTTATTAAAACATTAATTGTAGTATTGTGCAAAGGTCTGATACCACCAATCTTTTCTTTAATTTTCAGGCTAAAATAGCCATCAAGTACAAGTTAAAGTTATTCCAATTTTTTAATAGCATTAATAATAATAATAAGAATAAGAATAAGAATAAAAAAAATAATAATAATAATAAGTAGAAGAGGAAGAAGAGTAATTATTATTATTATTATTATTATTATTATTATTATTCAATCTGGATATGCCAAAGATTGTATTTGGACTGACAGTCTGAACAAGGCCTTACTGTGCTGCTGATTAAGAATATTTGCCCTGGCCTGCCCCCTGCTGGACATAGTTCGTCATGAGACAAAAACTGTGGCCAGCTAGGATTTATCATTTCATACACATATAGAAGTAAAAACTGGTTTATTTCATTAAAGAATTCAAAGCAAAAGTCTACTTTAGATGAACAAAAGCACCATTTTACATCAGTTAAAACCACAAAAACACTTCAAATTAACTTCTGCCCTGTTCCACCTTTTACACTGTATGACAATAGCATGTCAGCTTTAATAACAGCCTAGGGGAAAAATCAAGGGAATTCATTCTGACAGAAAGCAGCTGGTTATGAGACATCAAATATATTCAGATATCAAAATATTCAGAGTAAATGTATGTTTCACACGTGTAGCCACAACCTGTATCGCATAATAGCTCATAGTTTACTGTAATGTCACATTTCATTCATTTTCTAGTGGAGGTTTCCTCATTTGCACCAATACACTGAAAAAGCAACCTTCGTGCCTGTTTATACCCCACTGACAAACATTTTGTGTGTTTTTGCCCTCTAGTTGCATTAAATGCAGGTCCATGATTGGTCACATGGGGCGCACTCCTGTATAAAGGGTCACCGAGCCACCATCTCAAGAGACGTTCAGGGCTCTCTCCCCTCTGATTTGACCTGGAAGAACATGTCCAGACCAGCCTGGCACTCTTCACTTCAGTCTGATTAGACTTGGAACAGAAAGTGAGAAGGGGCTCTCCCCCCAGACCAGCCGCCAGACCAGACGCCAAACACCATTCAAAACAAGAAACTGCAGCTTTATTTAGACTTTCTTAACCCGTCTGTGGTGTTGATGTGTTTATCACTCTGTGGTCTGGTGGACCCACCGCATTATTGTTTTTTTAAATCAATACAGCCGTAACAATTTATGTAAAAATACCAGATGTTTAAAATATCACAAGTGTCCAGCGTAGGGGTCTCCTTTAGCAGCTGTAGCCAGTCAGCAGCCTGTCCATGTTTGTCCACCCTCACACACATACAGAAACACATACACACACAGACACACACACACTAACAGCAGGCCATGTAGGAGGAGAACAGAGTGAAGGACACAGCACCTCCACACTTTTACTCCTCGCGGGTTCACCCAACACCACATGTGTAATATAAATGTGTGGGGGGTGAACAGAGTGAAGACACTGAAAATGAGTTATTTTATATGTTCTTCACAGAAAATGAGCAAAGGACAAGAATCTGAGGTTGAAATAATAATAAATCACATCATTTTTTATTTTGGTAAACATTGAAAATGGTCCCACAGACCTGAACACCACACAAGGGTTAAAAGTATGCAAGTTTGCATAAGGCCAAGCTGAATGGGGGCTAATGACTTCAGGGGTGAGCGTACGCCAAAATAATCAAATTAAGATTAGATTAAGTGATCAAGTGACCATTATTAGTCCCACATCGGAGAAATTTCACCTCCGCATTTAACCCAACCGTGCAGTGAAACACCTCATACACACTAGTGAATGCATACACACTAGGGGGCAGTGAGCACACTTGCCTGGAGTGGTGGGCAGCCCTATCCTCAGCACCCGGGGAGCAGTTGGGGGTTAGGTGCCTTGCTCAAGGGCACAAACACAACTAATGATTTTAAACCTAACTAAACTAAAACCAAATGAAAACAAAAAGACGTATGGCTACCCTAACTGCCCACCTTAAACAGGAGAAAAGGCAACCAAACCAAAGTGGCGCCCGTCCCCCACTTTCCCCAACGCTCACGAAGTCTAATCAAACAGTCACAACAGCGGCAAAGCAAAGCAGACTGAAGTGAAGAGTACCAGGCTGGTCTGGACAAATTCTTCCAGGTCACATCAGAGGGGAGAGAGCCCTGAACGTCTCCTGAGATGGTAGTTCGGTGACCCTTTATACGGGAGTACGCCCCATGTGACCAATCACAAACCTGCATTTAATACAACAAGAGGGGAAAAACGCACAAAACGGCCACAGAAAAGTTACTGCGACCAGGGGTCAGAACAAGATTCAAGAGCACTTTGAGGACCACTCTGGGTTTCACTCAGGTGAGTGAGTCAATCATGGCTCAGTTCTTATCACACTTGTCATAGCAATAACTTATTATGCTATTTTATTCAATAACAACAATAATAGTAATGATAGCTTTATTGTAGAGCACTCTTCATACCTGTGACAGGTCAAAGTGCTTTAGAGATAGGTGATAAAGCTTACTAGTAACAGAAGAAATGATTCATATTATTATATATATATTATATTAAAATGATGAATATTCATTTAAAATCATATAAGACAATGACACAGATCAAATTAAAAAAAAATACTAATAGAAACTAATAATTAAAAGTGAGCACTGAGCTTGACTGTCTAATAAAAGGTGAACTGAGCTCCACAGTTTAGGAGCAGAATAACTGAACGAGTCTCTCCATGTTTTCTGTATTTAACTGAAGGTGTTCAGAAGGTCAGTATCTGCAGATCTAAGATCTTAATTCCTCAAATCAGCTTTCTTAGTCATTCTAGAATCATTATTTAGAATCAGGTTTTCTAAAATACTAATTATTGAAACCCGTGATATTACACTGTTAGAATATTCATACATATATTCACAACAAATTGCCATCGCATTATTTATATATTATTATTTGGCAAGAGTTTCCACAGGTTATCCAATAATAACTAAAACATTGGTTTATGAAATATGCACCACATTAAATGATAAATAATACAATATAATTATGTATTTAGAATATTTGCCCACAGATCAGACCACAGTTTGGCAAATAGAAGCCTATTCTCTATTTATTACAATATCATTATATATTAAACACTTTCTGAGTCATTTCAGAATCATCATTCATCACTACAGACACTTCTGAAATGTAACGATTTTTTACAGCTTCAAACAAATTATTATAGAACTTTGAAGTTGTACAGTTTCCTTGTAGCATCATATTAATGTAACTGTATATATAGTCATATGCAAAAGATTGAAAACCCCCGAACCTCAAAACTTAAATATGTGCTTCACATTTCAGTGCAGTTTTTATTCATTTGCCAAGCTTAATATATTGGGAAAAAACAGAGCATAAAGCATAAAATATGCCATAACTTTTGCATTTGCCATATTTTATGTTTTATTCTTTCCCCAATATGTTAAAATTCAGCAAATAATGAGTGATTGTGTATTAAAATGTGCAGAAGTGTGTCTCTGTAGAGGATGTGTTTGTCATGCACCCCTCCGGCTCTGAAGCATCCAGGAACTCACGTGACTGATGCCACTCCACAGCACTCCAATCATCGCTGGCAGTCACCTGAATATTAATCTCTCTCACCTGTATCTCTTGTCAAGTGATCTATCAGAGTTAGTGTACAGCACAGGCTTTTAGCTTAGGTACTTTGCGAGGTATTGATTCTAGTTGTGAGAGCTACTGAGCGTATTGTCTGGTTTTGTTATGCTTGTCTTTCTTTGTTTTGTTTTTTTTGGCCTTTCTGAATTTGACCCTTGCCTGTTCAATGACACTTTGATTTGGGGGTTTTGCCAAACCCCTTTATAATAAAGCCTCATTTTTCACTTCTCTTCTTCCTGCGGAGGCTCGGGAAATTTGGACTGCCTCCTCACATCCTCACCAACTTCTACAGATGCACCATAGACAGCATCACTGTCTGGTATGGCAGCTGCACAGCCTGTGACCGCAAGGCCCTTAAGGGAGTGGTGAGGATGGCAGGAGATACCGCAGCATCCAGGCTGGAACAACCCGGTTAATGAACAGTTTCTGCCCACAGGCTGTCAGGTTTCTGAACAAGCTGTGAAGCTGTGGGTCCTTCACCAACTACCATTTCACTCAGTCACTCTGTTAGTATTATTAATCACATCATATCACTGCTACAGACAATAACATTAAGTCACTTTAAAATGTATATGTGGCTACGTTCACATTGCAAGCCTCACTGCTCAAATCCGATCTCTCTGACACGATGGTTCACACTCGTTTAGGTAAGTGATTCAAATCTGTCTTTAATGTGACGAACCGGCGTCCTGAAATGACCCTCATGCGCACATCCTACTCAGTAACGTCACATGAATGAATCACTGCATCATCAGCACAAACTAACGAGCAGAACGAGCTTCGCTGTGAAGATAATTAACTCTGATCAGCTCTCAGCTTCATTATTAGAGTGAGACGAAGGAGAAAAAGTGAGATGTGTTGCTTTTCCACCGTTTACAGGCTTTAACTTCTGTT